TAATTTTTGTAATTTTGTATTTTTAGTGAAGACGGGGTTTCACCATGTTGGTCAGGCTGGTATCGAACTCTTGAGCTCAAGTGATCTGCCTGCCTCTGCCTCCCAAAGTGCTGAGACAGGCGTGAGCCACTGTGCCAGGCCACATTTACTCTTTGATCCAGCAATTTCACTTCCAGGAGTTTATCCTATATATAGAACATATGTGCAAATAGATAAATACAAGTATAATCATGGAAGCAAAGACAGTATCCAAAAAACTGGAAAGTCTAGTATCCAACAATAGGGAACAGGTTAAATAAACAAGGGTATTATTCATATACAGGTTAAGTAATCCAATCTGAAAATCTGAAATCCCAAACACTTCTGGAAGCAAACATTTTGAACAATAGATACTCAAGCTGTTACAGAATATTATGCAACCATTAAAAAGGAAGAGAGCCAGGCACGGTGGCTCACACCAGTCATCCCAGCACTTTGGGAGCCTGAGGCAGGCGGATCACAACGTCAGGAGTTGGAGACCAGCCTGGCCAATATGGTGAAACCCCATCTTTACTAAAAATACAAAAATCAGCTGGGCGTGGTGGCGCGCAACCATAGTCCCAGCTCCTCGGGAGACTGAGGCAGGAGAATGGCTTGAACCCAGGAGGTGGAGGTTGCAGTGTGCCAAGATCGCACCACTCCACTCCAGCCTCAGTGACAGAGCAAGACCCCATCTCAAAAAAAAAAAAAAAAAAGAAAGGGGAAGATCTGTATGTACTAAAATATATGTCCCTGGGGCACAGTGGTGCATGCCTGTAATCCCAAGTACTCCAGAGGCTAAGAAGGGAGGATCATTCAGCCTAGGAGTTCGAGGCTAGAAGCCAGTGTGGGCAACACGGGAGACCCTGTCTTTAAAAAACAAACAAACAAACAAACAAAAAAAAACAACAAAGAAAGAATGTCCTAACACATACCAACTAAAAGTAGCAAGAATAGAGTTTGCTATTAATTTTAAGAAGGTGTGTGTGTGAGTGAGTGTGTGTGTGTCTGGATGTATACAAAATATGTTACACATGCACAAAATAGAAACATAACATAAGGTAAATGGGGGACTAGAATTTATGGATGGGAGAGTCACTTTTTTTTTTTTTGAGACCGAGTCTTGCTCTGTCACCAGGCTGGAGTGCAGTGGCGCAATCTCCGCTCACTGCAACCTCCGCCTCCTGGGTTCAAGCGATTCTTCCGCCTCAGCCTCCCAAGTAGCTGGGACCACAGGCACGTGCCACCATGCCCGGCTAATTTTTGCATTTTTAGTAGAGACGGGGTTTCACCATGGCCAGGATGGTCTCAATCTCTTGACCTCGTGATCCGCCCGCCTGGGCCTCCCACAGTGCTGGGATTACAGGCATGAGCCACGGCGCCCGGCGGGGGAGGCTCACTTTTTACCCTATGCTATTTAAACTGTTTTAAGTCTTTGGCTATATGCATGTATGTTTCAGGCAAATTACAAAATCTATCAACACATTACCCAACTCAAGACACCCACACCTTACATAAACCAGAAAGTAGAATGGTGGTTGCCAGTGGATGAGCAGAGTGGGGTAAGAGGAATTGTTTAACAGGTAGAGTTTCAGTTTGCAGATGAAAAAAGTTCTGGAGTGGGAGGCCAAGGCAGGTGGATCACGAGGTCAAGAGATCGAGACCATCCTGGTCAACATGGTGAAACCCCGTCTCTACTAAAAATACAAAAAATTAGGTGGGCATGGTGGTACAT